CAGCTTACTCTTCATTCTTATCTCAGCAAAAGATACAAAATTTCCAAAAGTACCCATAATTGCAAGTTAAAGTATAGGAAGATCATGTAACCAATTAAAATGAACAGATTACTTTGGATCCACATTCTCACTCGGCCTCTATCCTTCACACCATTTCTTAAAACACTGGCACATAGGAGGATTTTCCTAAACGCAACAGAGAGAAAGGGTAAAATGATAAAAATGGGACATTTTCCAACTTTCTACCTTCAGAAATTGGGTCTGAGCAACAAGAGACGAGTAGGGAAGTCAGTGGTCAAAGAAAAAAAACATTTAAAATAATCACAGTAGTAACTTTCACACCAAGCATGGCAGGCTCTAAATCAATGCAATTAGAAATTTTTAAAGTTTGGAATGACTAAAGCTGTTAATAAAATCATGAAAACACGGCAGTTATGTAAGAACACACACACACACCCCCTCTGTGACTAAGTTACCGAGCCAACATTACAACACAGATGACTACACACACAGACATTAGGACAGCGTATGGAGAGGCACCTGGGTTTCCCCATCATCCAGTATCAGATTCAGACGGCAAGCAAAGCACAGCAGTACGGTTCCAGCAGGGAAACAGCAACTCCATGACCTCTTATTCAACAACGAGCATTAGGAAGAAAGCAGACAGAGAAGAGATCACTAGAGCAGCTGGCGACCTGGGCTCAAGCCAAGGTGCTGCCAGCAGAGGCCTTCCAGCCCTCAGTTCCTGCACCTGCAAATGAGAGGGTTCGTCTTTCTACCAGCTCTGACTACGGTTTTGGACAATCAATAGGATATTATATTTTTGTCTCCATTACTAAAATACAAGAAGTTAATCTAACCAGTGACTGATGACAGAAGAGTTTATGCCCAAGCTACTGCAAGGGAGAATGGCAAAGCTGCAGCCTAACAGAAGAGAACAAAAGTGTGCTGCAGGACCCGCGCCTGCGCCAGCCAGGCCACAAGCAGAGCCGAGTTACTCTGCAAAGTGTCTCGGTAGCGCAGACAAACCAGTTAGGGAAAAATCACTTCCACTGAGTGCGGTAGAGAAAACAACTGTGAAAATTCACTGGCTTCGGTATCATATAAACTCATTCTGCCTTTGGATATAATAAAAGCAGAGACAGTATTAAATGATCCTAAGAATTTAAAAATATTTTCTAAGAAACCAGTATCTTAATTACCAACATTCTAAAATCACAAATAATGTTTTTACATTTTAGACCAAGTGCTTTATATTTTTCTTTTTACATCAAAATATAAGTATATTATAAAATAACTTTTTGAAGCAATTTAAGAGCCAGCCAATAAACATGGGAATATCTAGTCAAATCAGGATAGCATTTATAAACACAATAACCGTATTTTCAAGTGTGCATGATTAAGTACCAAGTAAGAAGTGTAGATAATAAATATTCTAATAATTCAGAGTAGGGAATCTCAGTGAGGCTGGGTGGATGAGGGCAGCTCCATGTACAAGGACCAAAAGCTGGGTAGTAAGAGAAAAAACGTCACGACGCTAAAACAAAAATCACTGTCTCTTCTCTGGAAATGTACACTTCTCCTTGGCGCAAGTGTCACTACCTAGTTTCCAACCAACCAGGTACAGGCCTGGTGCTCCGTGTTCTTCTCTGTCCTTCTTCCAGGACCAGAAACGAGAAGCAGTGAGACAACAGAGGCAGAACAGAAAAGCCAGGTCTCACGCCAAGAGGTCAGTGAGCCCTTCTCCCTGCATCGGCTTCTCAGGCAGGTCTGACATATGGCAGAAGCTTCACCTTTAATTTAGGTTGCTCTGGAGTTTGGATTCGTTGGCACTGGACATTTTAATAAACAGACTGAGACTTTTGTGACTTAGTTACTAAAGGATGACTTGTGTTATCTAAGGGCAATCAGAAAAGTCAAGATGATGAATGGCAGAGGAAGAACCAGCCTCACACAGTAGGCCAAAGGGGACAAAAAGGGGAAAAAACTGAACGTGACAAAAGACAGCTGGTTATAATTCTATGTCACAAGCCCCGCTCTTCAACCTAATACACTACAGGGGCAAGTGCAGAAGTGCACAAATCTTATAAAACAAAACAATCCACCAGCCTCTTCACCCATCCTGAGATGGTTCAGCATTAACAACTCCAGGAATGTGCCATATCATGAGAATCTAGAGTGTTCCCTCAGTACCCAGCATTAACTGGTGCTGGGACACTCCATGAGGACCAAAAACAATGAGTGCCCAACAAAGTGCTTTGGCTGGAAAGGGTAGCAAATCAGAAGGCAATTGGCAACCACAAATTCTAGCTTTTGGCTAGAGTACCGAATAAATGACGAGTACCAGGACAAAATTTTCATGTCAAAATGTGTCAAGTACCAAATTCAAAGTGACAGTCGAGTACCAAAGCAGGACTGTACTACTAACTCAAGAATCTACTGTCTATTATTAAAGCTGGACACGAACAACCTAAATATTAACAGACTGTGACTTTCACCCTGCTCTATTTCTAACACTCCCCAAAGTCCCCCTTACACAAAACAAGCTTTAAAACTGCTTTTCTTCTGACTACAGAAGGCTGCTATCAGGCTGTCAGAAACAGAATCTGAACAAATATGCACACAACCAAAGCTTTGGTATTAAAAACACGCTGAGCTTTACTTTGTGCAGCATTGTAATGTAAATAAGTTTCATCCTGTCCTTTCACAGGCAGCCAAACCTCTGAACTCGCCTTGCAGTGCCATTCTGGACACGGGGGGTGTGGGGGGTGTGTGAAACCTTTTGACTCTGATATTCAAAGAGAGTAATCGCTGTATACGATTTTTAGAGTTTAGTACAAAGCCCTCAAAATAAATACAGTATCACGTACTGTTATTAAAAGCATATTTTCCTAGGAGAAGAGCGTTTTTTAAATACACTACTCCATATTTTCCTAATACTTTTGGGGGGATACAATATGTATTTTCAGTGACAGCCTGATTCAGGAGCCTTCAATCAGCCACAACAACTCTCCAAAATAGGCACCATCATCCCTATTTAAAGACAAGGGGGCTGGGGCTCAGGGTTTAGAGACCTAAACCCTGAAGTCACACTCCTAGCAACTGGTGGAGCAGCAGCGTAAACTCACACCAGTGTGTCCAATTCCCAAGGCAATTACATTGCTGCTGTCATTCTCAAGGGTCACTTCCACTGACACCTTTCTAAAAGAAGATCCTATTTTAATGGTTACATTGACAGTATCTAATGCTGAAACATAAGCTATTATCAAGTTCCAATCATAATTCTACTTAACATACCTCTGCTGTTGTGAATTTATTAGTAAATTTTTCAGGAGTGAAAATTTTAAATAGCAGATACTAACAAAGTTTAGACACACACATACATTCATGAGGCCACGCTTACGGTAGTTATTTACAACAAGTGCATGTGACTGGGAAGTCTGACATTTTCCAAAACAGTAAATAAGGGAAGCAGGGCTCATTGCATGTTTTCAGAAACTAAAGGGGGCTGGCTCCAATAGAGTCCTATCGCTTAGGCTTTATCTTCACAAACATGAAGGCAAGAAATAGGGAGGAGAGAACCCCTCAACACTTCCGCGGACCTCAATCAAGGTCATCCTCGATTTGCGTGGCGTGACTCCGCCACCCCTCCCTGCCCTGAGAACACTGGGCAGGTCTGCAGACTTTACGTCAGGACTGCGTGGTGGGAGGGCAGCCACTGTGAGTCCCGTCACGTACGGTACTGGGCATGAATGCCTAGTGTAAGGGCGCCAGAAGCACTTAGGGCGGGCAGCAACAGCGGTTAGAAGCTGTGACTACAAACAAGGCACCAGAGTCCAGGAAACACCCAGCAACGGTCAGGGGCAGCGCTCTGGGGTGCCAGGTGCACGGCAGGTGGGAGAGAGGGGACGGACGGGGCAGAGACAAGTGACATCAGCGTCCACCGTATCTGTCCATCAGCAGCGCCCAACTGTTTTCTTCTGAGAAAAGGACAGGAAATTGAAAAGTGCAAGTAGAAAGGAAAAAAAGTTTACTGGAGAGAAACGGCTTTTTTCAGACAGTACACAGTTCCACTGGCATCCGTGAGCGTTGCCATGACTTCCAGCAGGGATCGAGAGGCCCATCTACAGTGGGGACACAGGCACTGTGGCAGGAGGCTGGCTATCCGCCAGAGCGCACACGCTCAGATGACACGCGGCCAGCCCTCCTTCCTGAACCCGGCTCTCTCTGAGTTTGGGGACCCTGTCGTGAGAGGAAATAGCAAAACCCAACACACAGCGACCTGAGTGCTGAATAGGAAAGAAAATTTCACAGAACGTCTCCGTGCCCTGCATGGCCGAGTTCTCCTGCTGCACACTTCCACCTCTGCCTTTTCTGGCTGCCCCTCACTTTTTAGTCCTTTCCTGTTACTTCCCCTTTCCTTTCTTTCCTCTCTTCCAATTCTAATGCCGTAGCTGACTCTCAGGGAGTCACAGGCATCACGGCCTGAGAATTTCGGAGTGGCTATCTCGCACAGGCGCACGCTGCTGCCTCTCCAGCCCGCAGACCCTTCACAAGCCCAGTCCCTCCTCTCCACGGACCGACGGTACTCGCTGCGGGTGACGGCGGACGGGGAGAGCCGACCTAGCTTCAGACGCCGGCCCCTTCTACGAGGGCATTTACTGAAGTAGAAAAAGCGCTCGGCGACTTAGCGGCCACCCTGCACCGCCAGCTCCCTGCAGGGCACAGGGATTACAATTTTGCCGCCTTCTGAGAGCCGAAACGTGCCCCTTCGGCGGACCCAGGGGGCCGCCCGCCACGGAGCCCTGCAGACGCCGAGCCCGGTGGGTGTCCGCCTCCTGCGCGCCCCCGCAGCACCGGGACGCTCACCCCGAAAACCCACCGGGCTGACCTTCGCCAGGACCCGTAAGTGAGCACAAACGCGGCGGGGCTGCTGGAAGAGGGGCGCAGGGGGTGCGGGCCCTGCGGTGACCCCTCCAGTCTGGGGTCCCCGCGCCCACCTTGGTGAGCTGCGCGATCTTCTTGCTCATCCGCAGGTGCACGTCGGCGCCGAGCTCCAGGCCGAGGTGGGGCTGCCAGCCCGCGCCCGGGGTCGCCATCTTCCCGCGGCCCCCGGTCCCTGTGGACGGACGAGCGCGAGGCGGACGCCGGCGCGGGCAGCGCGTCGGCCCGCGGTCCGACCCGACTCGGTCCCGCCTCCTCCGCAGTCCTGCGGGGCCGACGGACGCGGGACGCGGGACGCGGCGGCCGTAACCAGGCGAGGGAGCGATCGCCGAGAGCGCGAGGGCGACGTCACTTCCCCGCCGCGAGGCCCCGCCCGCGCCCAGGCCCCGCCCCCCAGGCCCCGCCCCGCCAGGTGTCCCCACCCGCCGCGACCCTCCTCTTGGGTAGAAGCTGCTGGCTAGGGGCCGTGAGTAGACCCGCGGCTTCGGAGGGAGGCCTGGCCCGGCGCAGGCCCTATGGCTGTCCCTAGAAGGGGTGCGGCCCCCCACGGGCTGCACGCCGGGCCTGAGCAGCCCCTGTGAATCCCTGGCTGGAAATGGGCGAGGCCGGAGGGGAACCAGACGCCCGGTCCTTCACCGGCTGTGTGACAAAACCTTTCCCACCTTTCTGGCGTGTTACCTGCTACTGACTCTTAGTGCCCTGTTCCTGCAGGGTTACTGACTTAAGGAAGGAAAAATCTGCATCTTGTGTGGAAATAAATGAGTCATGTTAGGGTAATGTGAATACAAACTTTAAAATGTTGGATTGCACTATTTTTTTTTTTTTTTTTTGCTTAACTTCTTTCATTGGTACATTTTAGGCATGCAATACGTTTACATTTCTCATTGGGTGTTTGTACCTGAACATGATGATGAATCTGGGTTCTTATTTTTTCTCCATTGCCTGTGCTCCCTTCACCCCCTCCACCCTTTGTTTCCATTTTTTTCTTTTCTCATAATTTTTCCTTTCCCTTCTTTCCTTTCCCCTTCCCCTCCCGCTTCCCCTACCTCTTTGGACCTTTTCTTCCTATTTCAGATTATCAATTATTCATTTTAATTTTAATCCTTATTTACACTTTCAGTTTCTCACACTAGAGAAACTATTCAGTATTTACACATATGTGTCCTATTTATTTCACTTAAGAGTATGGCCTCAATATGCATCCATTTAGCTATAAATTGACATTTCTCAGACAAAGAAGTAAAAGCATCAAATAAACGTATGAAAAAATGTTCAACATCACTGATCATTTGAGAGATGCAAATGAAAACAACACTGAGATTCAACCTCACCCCAGAAAGAATGGCTGCTATCAAGAAATCAACCAATAGCAAATGCTGGTGGGGCTGTGGGGAGAAAGGAACCCTGCTCCACTGCTGGTGGGAGTGCAGACTGGTGCAACCACTGTGGAAATCAGTATGGAGATACCTCAAAGAACTAGGGCTAGAGGTCCCATTTGACCCAGCTATTCCCCTGCTGGGGATCTTCCCCAAAGAATTAAAGGAATCATACCACAGTGTTGTATGCTCACCTATGTTTATAGAGGCACAGTTTGTCATAGCTAAAGCTTGGAAACAGCCCAAGTGCCCATCAACTGGAGACTGGATAGAGAAGATGTGGGTTTTTTTTTTAATAAAATTGAGTACTACTCAGCCATAAAGAATGAGAAACTAGGGATTGCTCTGTTTTTAAAAGATCTGTTCTCCATGCAGTTTTGCAGAACTGAATTCCCTCTTCATGCGATTTCTCCTTAGCCTCCTCTCAAATAAACTTGAGAGTTTTAACAAATTAAATTGAAAGTCAAATTGGCATAAAGTGTCTGAATGTGAGAAAAACTAAACAAGGTAAAGATTGGAGAGGATCCTGACATACTTTCAGATCTGTTGAAATTCCAGAAAGGAAGACTGAACCTGACTACATCTTTTCTAGCTGCTGGGTACTCAGCCCACTCTAATAGAACTTCCAGAAAATAAGCCATTGAGTTCTAAAGTTCTGAGTGGTGCAGATAGCCAGAAACAAACATTTCACGAATTTTGCTTCCCTCTTGTACTTGAGCAAATGAAGTTAAAGAGAATTGGGAGCTAGTGTTATTTCATCAAATTTTATGCGAAGATTCACAATCTTTTTTTTCTTTTCTTTTTTTTGTACTGGGGATCAAACTCAGGACCTTGCATTTGCAAGGTAGGTAGGGGCACCATTCAGCTAAATCCCCAGCCCTCACAATCATTTTTGAACTCATATTCCTTACATGCCAAGCAGAAATGTGTTCAAAACTTGCTGTTTCAGTAAACTTGGGTAGCCAGGTGTTGCTGGGGTAAAGAAGGTGGTTTTGGTGTTCCCTATGATACAGTAGAAAGAACCCAGAGCTAGAAGTGTGGAGGCCAGTGTGGGCCTCCGAGGAGCCACTGACCCTGTGCACCCTCAGGTGCTTCCTTTGGGAAGAGGTGGGCCCTCAGCGACCCCCTCACTGGGCAGCCAGGCAGGGTAGCCCTGGGCAACCAGGAATTCACTCTGAACTCCATCATGCAAGTTCTGCCACTGCTGTTAGGCAAGTGCACAGGAAGCCTTCTCCTAAACTCCAGGCTTAAAAGTCACCCAGTGTCATTTAATGAATTTAATGCTTTGCCCTACTGCAAATGGTCAAAACGGGTCATTTGATACAGAATTCTATTTAATTATAAATAATATATAGAAACATAATAATGCACACAGAATCCCACCATCTTGGGAGAGAAGCTAGTTAGGCAAGAAATATTTATCTAGTGCCTGCTCCCATCATGAGATTGTTTATGCAGAAAGACCTATTGAAGCCTATTGAGTCCCTGGCACTAGTATCTGTCCCGAGGACGGTAGCATATGGGGGACTAGAATAAGGTGTGGCACAGAGAGGGAGGTGTTAAAGGGTCCCCGAGAGGGCATGGCCCTGGCCCTGCAGCACCTGAGGTGTTTCCTGCTCCCCGAGGCCCATCCAGGCGTGGTGGCTGAGCCTATAGTCTGAGTCGGAGGCAGGAGGATTACTGCAGCCCAGCCCGGACAGCAGCCAAGACCATGTCTCAATAATAAATTAATTAATTAAAATAAAAATTTAAAAATTAGCAAAAATGCAAGGCAGCAAGAAAAATTAAATTGATTTCATCAAAATTAAAAACTTTTTGTATATCCACTACCTCCAAGGCAGAGTAGCATCACAGAGGAGAAACAGTTCATGGTAAGTAGAAGGAAGCAAAGCAACAAGGGACAAGACAAACCTCTTTCTGTCCCTTATATTGTATCCAGGCTACCAGGGTTAGGGTGGTACCAAACCAATCAGTGGACCGATTTATTAATCACTGACCCTTAATCCTAGCATTGCACCATGAATCAGTCATACACCCTCGATTCAGCTACTTCTGAAAAAGCCTCACCTAACACCTCATGAGGTTTGGGGGGACATCTAGACACCACCCATAACAAATAGTGTAGCCATCATGGTGGCTCCTCAAAAAATTAACATAGAATTGCCCTATGATAGCAGTTCTACTTCTAGATGTATACCCAACATAGTGGGAAGCAAGGACTCTGATATATCAGTACACAACCAACACAGCTGCATTACTCATTTAGCCAAAAGGTGGAAGCCTGCCAAGTGTCCACTGACAGAAGTATGGATGAACAGAACGTTCCCCCTAAAAAGGCTGACACATGACACATGGATGAACCTCAGAAACATCAGGTTAAGTGAAATAAGTCACTCACAAAAGGAAAAATACTGTATGATTCCACTTTATATGGGCACCTGGAACAGCCCATTCATACAGCCAAGAAGTGGAATGGTGCTCACCTGGGACTGGGTGGGGAGGGAATGGGATGCAGCATTGGAGAAGGACAGCTTTTCAGTCTGGGCAGATGAAAACATTTTGGAGATAGTGGTTATGGCTGCCTAGCAATTTGAATGTCTCTACTGTACTTGAATCACACACTTAAAATGGTTAAAATGTTAAGCTATATGTTAGAGAAGTTACAGCACAATTTTTAAAATGAACACTGCCTCCATCAGTAAAGATACCCTTACTACTTATGAGAAATCTGTTCTAGAAACTAGAAAATCCAAGAATGGTACCCTACCAACACGTATTCATTGAAGGCTTTCTTTGTGGACATGAAGTCATTTCCTACCTGAGGCTGTGGCTACCTGAAGAGGACATCTGGGTACAATGTGTGAGGGAAGCAACAGCTGGGGGAAACATTCTCTCTCCTTTTTTCTCTTCTGCTTCTTCCCATTTGGGTCAGAAGAATCTTAGGGATTAAATTAGGTAGGCAATGGAGAAGGACATTCAAAACCTACAAACCTTCCTGTACTGAGTATCTGCCACAGTTCCTCATGGCTTTGACAGGGAGTCCAAGGCACTTTGAAGCCCTTTTCTGTTTTCCACAAGTGTTCGACTCTCGAGAATCTTCACCTCTGGGGTGAGAGTTAAGGTCGTGCAACCGGCCTTCCTAGGCCCAAGGGACTGAGGCTCACCACAGATTCTGCAAGCAACTGGACTTCAGTGGAATTGTACTTGCATACAATTTCAGGAAAGTATGGAAATGTGTTGAGTCAAACATTTTCCAAATACAACTCTTCTCTTGATGCAAGTCTGTAGGGACAATGGAAACCAGTAGCAGAGTCTTGAAATTCTAGACCTCATTGCACCACTGGGCTACTTCTTTTTTCTCATTACTAAAACAAAGACACTGAGCTAAATGAGCTTGAGGGTGTCTTACACTTCCTACACATTACATGTTGAATTATTTCATATTGTAGGACCGAACTTTGTTATAGTCATTTTCCAGCCTTCATTTCTACCTCTTTACATGCTCCTAAAACATGATATACAAGATAAGCCTAAATAAAGCTGCAGATTTATTTATATAGATGGTTTGATCCAGATGTCTGTACTGAATACCTTCTAAAATGCTCGATACACAATACATATACCACAGATGTTTATTTCCAATGTTTAGTTCACTTACTTCACCATTATTATTAGCTTTTGCTATGCTGACAAAGCCATCCTTTTCTATAAACATCACCATCAACCAGTGTCCAACTGCTTTATTTCTCTGAAGCAGGGACTGAAGCAGGTACTTTACTTGGTAGGTGATCTGGGAAGCGCAAAGCTGAGAGATGCCCAAGGACCCATTATTGAGTTGGCAGTCACACCGGTCTGGTCTGTTG